CTGTCAGCCGGTGTGTCAGTAGTGTGGTCAGCCTGTCAGTCTGTCAGTCGGTGTGTCAGCACTGCGGTCAACCTGTCAGTCATGATAGGACTTGGCCATGCTCGCCATGCTCACCTGTTTCTGGTTATTGAGGTGCATCTCCCGGTCAGCCACCTCCCTGCGCAGCCGGTCCACGTCCTGGCTCAGCTGCAGCCTGTCCTCGCTCTCGTCCGTGGCCTCGTCCAGCTGCTTGGACAAGTAGAAGTTCTGCCGGTTGAGCTCGGCGTTCTCCTGGCTCAGCTGGGTCAGCTGCTCCTCCAGGTCTGTGATGACCTGACAACACAAGAGGGTGAGGGAATGAGGCTGCGGTCTGTGCTCACAAGCATGAAAGGACAAGACACCCCCAAGCACTGGAATATTCCATCTCTCCTGCTGTACTTGCAGCTGTCCTCTGCACAACTGCAGTGCACTGGAGATAAAGCTGGGTGGATGCACACTTCTCAGCAGTGCAATAGCTCCAGCAGACTGCGCCATCGTCTGCTTCTGGCCCTGCATGACGCACAAGGCCCGCTGCTCAGATAGACCTGCCCATTCGTGCCTGGGAATGCAACCGGGGTGGGTGCTGTGGCAGGTCCAGGGCAGCACCAGACACAGAGCAACAGCAGCTGCTGACACTGCCCACAGGAAATAAACAGGAGCTGGACAGGGAGTGGAACTGGGCAATACTCAATGTGTTGGGAAGAGACCTGACTGATTACTGTCTATATAAGGAACTGTCACCCTCTTTGGTGACGTTGAGTTAATCATTCAAACATCCTGACTTGAAAGAGCCCTGTGGACATGAGCCCAGGGAGAAAGATCCAGGTGTTGGCGTTGCTGCCCTTAATCAGACTCCAGGAGCACAGCAGGATTCCGAAACTGAACTTTAACGACTGCGAATGTGAGAGAATGAGCCGCAAAACCCAAAATATATTACAACCGACAGTTTAAGAACACGCTACACCCAAAGTCAATGTTCTGAACGAAGCAATTCAAAATGAAGCTGTCTGTCTCGGGGACGAGATCCGGAGAGCTCCTCGGGGCAAGCCTGCATGTGGAGCAGGCCCTGCTGTCCGAGCTCTCCACTGCACACCGGGAAGTTTCTTCGGGGGTCTCTTCCTACAGGGGGTAAGAAACGAGGCAGGAAACCCTGGAATATGATCCGAGAGAACAGAAGCTGGTGGACACGGCGTGGGAGCAGGCGGCCCAGTCCTTTCACAGAGGTTATCCCTCCTCCCCACGCCCCACACAGCTGCGCAGCAGACAGGCTGGGAGCAGGAGGCTCCCCTGCACGAACTGCAGCAGCACAGCAGCCTGTGGGCTGGATCGTTGGGCTTCAGCACGTCTCTCACAAGGGCAGACCCTCACGGACTTCCAGCTGCTCTGCCATTTGGGGTCTGTCTTTCTGAACGCAGTGCGCTCCTTTAGCATACCTGTGAAGGCGTTTGTGTTTTTTCCTAGGGACACCTGAGAAATCAGACACTGAAATCTTCAGACTCCTAACAGACAAAAGCGAGGAAACGGTGTACAGGTATCTAAATAACAGAG